CTTATGAGCGGAGGAAACAAATTTAGAACCCATTGATTTCCTCCAAATCGTTAATACTTCATTTTGTATAAGTTCTATTTTAACAATGTATTGGTTAAACAATCGTAAGATGTCGATTCTATCTGATTTGCGTCATACTACATTTGGAATCTCTGGACGGAACGGCAGCTTATGCACGGAATGCTAACGAGGCAGTGTTACGCCAGCAGTCTCTTTGTATTTGGTTTCCCTGACATATTTGCGTGCGTCGGTGCATTTTAAATACAAGTGCAGTACTGCCCGTATTGGGGGTTTGTTTGTTTTGCCTTGTCACCTGTCCTACGTTTTAAATTACAGTATGGATATGTTTACGGAAGGATTCATTTGGTGGGTTCGTATATATCGTTAGCTCGTATAGCTTTGTGAAACTCACGACAAGGCTGAGAGCAGCGCATTGTGACAATCTATAGGGAGGCCTATGTTTAGCTTTGAACTTGTAGAATAGAATAGAATAGAATATTTTTTTATTCAATACAGATTACAAGTAATTCTTATTAAAAGTCAATATTACCACTGGTTCAAAAAAAAACCTCTGTCCTGGGAAGAACCAGCAAGAAACCCAGCCGGACTTCTTTAAATAAATTTTACAATGTCAAGGGTCACAAAATATTTACAAAATTTATTTTAGAAACAGCTTGGAAGCGACCACCTCATTCCTAGTGGTTATTATCAATCATGTATTCATTTATATCACAATGCTTTTTACAAGGTTTTTGTTTAATTAAATACCTGTTTAAAATTGTTAATGATTGTATTTATTGGTAATGATGAATTATGTAATGATGATAACAATGATCATGATGATGTTTGGTTCTAAACAATACTGATAGTGATTTTTGAAGTAAGGACATCTGAAAAATCGTTGTGTTTTGCAATTTAATGAATCGAAAAAGCGACACTAAAAAGAGACAAAAATATATCTTTAGGATTTAACGTGCAATGGAATGAGATGAGAATATTTATTAGTCGTGTATATGTCATCTAGCGTCTATTTTACGTACTATCGTAAGAGTCAATCAATTTTTCTTCTATAAAAAGACTTTAAAAGTATACGGCGCTACTACAAAGTAATTTTACTCGAAAAAAAAATATTCTTTTGATTCATTACACTAAAATTTAGGTTTTACGTGTCTAAGCATAAGGATTGTAACATTTATTTGCTACAAAATCAAACTTTTATCTCATATTTTATGCCGCACTTGTGGTTGAAAATGATCATATCAAATAAATAATTTGCCGTGAAGTATTTTTATTTTATATGTAATCACATTCGAAAGTTTCTCTTCTACCGCGTGTAACATTTGACACACGTGAATTTTTTTTCTTTTATTTGCCGTTAAGTTTCTGTACAGTGAAGATGTATAACATATAAATAGAAAAAAACTAGACCAAACAATTATTTGTAGGCCATAGACGTACTGTTTATGAGCGCTAAGCCGCAGCGCTGAGACGTCAGTTTTTTTTCTTATTATCGTTACAGACAAAGATGGATAACACTTTACACAATTAACTTATATTTTTATTTCGTTCTCAAGGTTGTCCTTGCGTTAGCGGCGTCGATATAATTAAACTTTCGGTACACTGTTCCGTTACTGTTTGTATGACGTTATCCAAAGGGCTATCTTAATATTTATTCTAATTACCTTAATGTGCAACGCTAAGTGAAGCATTAGATAGGTGTTTACAAGAGAACAGCCATTATCAACAAGTTGTTGCCAAGAAAACATTCAATAATGGTCGGAATTTTCTGTATGTGCATGTAAAAGCTATTGTTGTTCAACAACCGCTAATGAGTAGGACCATTTACTCTTAGACGTGCACTTTAACTACGAAATCTAAGCATTAGTGTAATTTATTATATTTGTAGATTGACGAATTCTTTTTGTAATGATAAGTTTATTTTTGTTTTACTTCTTTATTTTTCTTTTTGTCATACTAGCTTCTTGGCGTGGTAGAGCCACGCTGCAGTTATATTATAGTTGTAGCACGAATGGGTCGGCTCGAGCGGGCAAGGACCACGCTCTCACAGAAAATCAGGGTAAAATAGAAGCTTAATGCTGCTGTGTTTCGTATAGCGCGAGATTCCAGTAAAAAGGGTCTCTGGTTCTCTACGAAACCAGAGACCCTTTTTACTGGGATCGAGGCATTCCATCTTAGTCCTCAAGGGTGACAACGCGTCTGCATTTTGATTCCTAACTGAGGATAAATGTGGATGTCTATGGGCCACAGCATCCACTTAGGAGTGTGTGCTCGTATGGCGCCCAATGCTATAAAAAATAGACCCGCCCCTTCCTCGTCTGAAAAGTACTTATTGATGTGACATTATTTAGGTATCAGACATTCGAAGACCGTTTATTTTGTCAGTTTTCGAAAAGAACCGAGTATTTCGGATAAAATGTAGCTTAGATCATTGCCAAGATCATTGCTCTCTATTGTTTGTAAAGTTTCATCAGAATCGGTTCAGCCATTCTAAAGATTAGCTCGGACAGATGACGGAGAAAAAATTTAAAAAAGGTTATTCATATGCTCTTTATTTTATTTATATTTTAATTTTATTTATATGTATAAATAGACATGTACACGAATATTATCCGACCTCTGGCTTCAATTTCGCGCCCTTGAACACTTCTGAATAAATATTGACATTATTTGTTGTGATGCTGCTTCCTACGCAATAAATTGTTTGCTTTGTCACCCTTAATCCAAAGCGTAGAGTAAACAAATAGTGAAATTCGAATATTAAGGAATGGTAAATTACATTACGTGACACAATTACAATAAGGATCTCGACCCTAAAGCGAGCTCCGTTCGTAAAGAATATTGACTTGTGAAAAGGGATTTATTTTTATAATTATCTTATAATTCCCTGCGTGTTTTATGTTTACATTTAAGTTGCTAAAGAGTAAGCCATGGCGCGGTAAGGAATAGAAGGAATATATAATATTTCACCATTTGCAAAAACTGCAAATACTTTAAGCATTGTAAAATTATAACAAAATAAACAACTGATTTAAAAAAATTAAAGGAAAAAATATAATTTCCACATAATTTTAGGAGCTTCTGAAGTCCTAACTGTTTATGAAAGTTTATGTTTTGACCTTTTTGAGTAGACTAAACAACCATAGTCACAAGGTCCAAAAAATTAGTATATTCATTAAGTATTCCGCCCTTAGTGGAGTCGAATTTTTTCTTCAAATTTTAACTGGATAATCCTTGTGTAGCTTCTTGCATAAAATAAGAATTATTATTAATGAGACTACAGTTGGCGAAGATATCGCGTAAAATACGTACAAGAAATACTGTTGGATTGAGATCCTCTTCCTTTAAAGTCGGCTAAAATTTTAATAAAGTTTTAAACTTAAAATAACCTAAATTTTTCTAAAATACCAAGACCTGGCAAAATAAGTATCACGTAAGGTTGATATGATACCGGAACTGTTACTCCACCTGATATGCTTGTCGATGATGGCTGAGGAAGGAATGGGTAACAACTTAATATATTAACTCCACTACAGGAAAAAAAATTATTTTTATCCCTTATTAAAAGTGTTTATTGCCTTTCGAACTTTTATTGTCCGCACAGATTGACTGCAAAGTTTCATTTGCTCAATATCACTAACCGATATCAGAAAATTTACTAGTTATTTTAAAGATATTAATAGTTACTTTGCAACCATCCGCTTAATTAAATGATTTGTCTTCCCTAGTTTGAAGAGCACCTCCCGCCTTCCCTCAATTGCGTGCACTAAACACTAATCCCAGCACCACTATTCCCAAAACCACTATTCTAGGAAAGACACACCATCGACGATAATACGACACGTGTTTCGCCTCTACACGAGGCATCTTCAGGTGATCGTGTAGAGGCGAAACACGTCACTGTATTGTGTCTTTCCTAGAATAGTGGTGTTGGGAGTAGTGGTGCTGGGATTAGTGGTGACGAGATTAGTGCACGAAATTGAGGGAGGGCGGGAGGTGCTCTTCAAACTAGGGAAGACACATCACTTTATTTAATTTAGCGGATGGTTGAAAAACACTTATTAATATCTTTTTTATAATAGATATCCGCAAAGTAACGCCTGATTCTATCAATTACTAGTTATTTACAAACTGACAAACGTTCTGGTCCTATTTGATGAAATGCGTAAACATTACTGTTACAATGCATTGCTAAAGTCTGGCAATTAAAATGAGTTTAGTAACAGAAGCCATTAAAGACTAAAACAATGCGACGTTACAGTTTCAAAATAAAAAAATCGCATATTAATGAAGTAGTTACAGTTAGTAACTACTTAATTAAGCTGTTTTTATTATTATTAAGGATAATATAAATGTCCATTCAAACTGAAGCGATGTTTTGCGCAATTCACTGCTCAAAATGACACAATTTACTGCTTATTTATTATGCCTAGGAACATTTATCTAATATGTGCTTATACCTTAATTTTTACAAAATAATTTTCTTATAAATAAACACTTAAAAAATAATAGGATAGCCATTTAAAACAACAATGAAATATACTAATCCGAAACTTTCTACTGCGACTTAAGTTTACTTTAAGTTTAATAATACATAGGTACTTTGTGTCAGTCGTAAATTAATCACAAAGTTTTTTTTTCAAGCGGAAAAAGTTTATGTGTATGTGTTATATGTGATGTTCGTTTGTGACTACGAGCTTTTATAGATTTAGTTAAATTAAGTTAGTGCGCTTTACTATTCTTAACTATACATACATACACGTGGAATGATTATGTGAGAATAAAAAAAATATGTTTTTATTTGAATAAAAGTAGTTTTTACCGCGGAGTAAGATTTTATCGCGTACATTAATGTATTTTATATTTCCGACATTTCGAGTACTTTACAGCACCCATAGTCACGGGGGGACTAGTTTCATTTAAATGTGTAGTGTTTGTAAATGTAAGAAATCACTATATTTATTTTGTTTGTTTGTGAGCAGATGGGAGCAGGCGCGAACGGGCCCGGCGGGCGACGTGCTCTCGAGCTTATACTGAGCAGTGGGCTCAAGTCGCTGGCGAGGCCGGCCAGGCCGGTGCGACGCGCTGCTTCACGAGATTCGGTGCTGTCGCAACCGCAGCCACTGCTCGAAGGTTAGAGGATACATAATAATAATGTACTTCAGTTGTCAGTTTCAACGGAGACTAGCTATTTGCCCAGGACCGGGTATACGGTATCAACGGCTTTACGTGTTTTCCAAGCTGAACACCGCCAGCTTTCTGCCTCGGGGCTGCTACTTGCTACGAGAGTTTTATTTTTGGCAGAAAGTAACAATAGCTGACTTTGGCCCAATACAGGATTCGAACCGGGGATTTCGTAGTCGCGCTTGTAGTTACTAGACTAACGAGGCAGCTTGGTTGTATACATAGATCGCTGAAGACCTCACTATTTGTTTTTTTTTTGTGTACAAATTACGTGCTTTCGTAATCACATTCTATAGGTTTACGTAATAGTCGCGCTTGTAATCACTGGACCAACGAGGCAGCTTTGTTGGATACATAGATAGATCACTGATGACCTCGCTATTTGTTTTTTGTGTACAAATTACGTGCTTTCGTAATCACATTCTATAGGTTTACGTAATAGTCGCGCTTGTAATCACTGGACCAACGAGGCAGCTTTGTTGGATACATAGATAGATCACTGATGACCTCGCTATTTGTTTTTTGTGTACAAATTACGTGCTTTCGTAATCACATTCTATAGGTTTACGTAATAGTCGCACTTGTAATCACTGGACCAACGAGGCAGCTTTGTTGGATACATAGATAGATCACTGATGACCTCGCTATTTGTTTTTTGTGTACAAATTACGTGCTTTCGTAATCACATTCTATAAGTTTACATAATAGTCGCACTTGTAATCACTGGACCAACGAGGCAGCTTTGTTGGATACATATATAGATCGCTGATGACCTAGCTATTTGTTTTTTTGTGTACAAATTACGTGCTTTCGTAATCACATTCTATAGGTTTACGTAATAGTCGCGCTTGTAATCACTGGACCAACGAGGCAGCTTTGTTGGATACATAGATAGATCGCTGATGACCTTGCTATTTGTTTTTTTGTGTACAAATTACGTGCTTTCGTAATCACATTCTATAGGTTTACGTAATAGTCGCGCTTGTAATCACTGGACCAACGAGGCAGCTTTGTTGGATACATAGATAGATCGCTGATGACCTCGCTATTTGTTTTTTTGTGTACAAATTACGTGCTTTCGTAATCACATTCTATAGGTTTACGTAATATACCAACGAGGCAAGGAAGGAGAGAGAAAGAAGGAGGAAGATAACATGCATCCTTTCCGGTAAATAGGGTTTCCGCTTTTCTATACTCACCATACAAAACAGCAGCATTAGGCTGCTAGTTTACGCTAGTATTCTGTGAGAGAGTGGTCATGTCCCGGTCGAGCTACAACGATAATATAGCTGCAGCGTGGCTCAACCACTTTAAAATCTCTTGTCAAATACTTTTAAATGCACTAATATTGTATTGTATCGTCTTAACACATTTTGATATGTATGTACAAAACACTTATATCATATTGGTGGGGTATTTAACAAAAAAATTTCCCTTCTTTTTCTTTTTGACTTAACAAACAAGAAATATGGAAAACAGTTTTGTTATTTAAGACATTCTTTTGTCATATTCTTAGAAACGAAAAGAACTTTCGTTTAAGAGTGAAAGAATTCTTGTTGGGATTAACAACTTGGCAACAAACAACAATTCTATAAACTGTGCTTAGGGCGCCTAGCCAGTAGAACGCGTTGCAATTATTTTTAGCATTTTCTACGTATTGTTTATCAATATTATCGATGTCTCCAAAGCAGGCCAAGGTGGTCATTTACCTTGGCGACGCTATTAATTGTATAATATCATCTTATCTTGTGATGTTTTTACGAGATGAGTTTTATTCAATTTTATCTTTTCTTGTTACGTAAAAAATTTAATGAAATTGTAAAATGGCGTGGATATTGTGTAATACATTTTACGGTCGTACTATATTTGTCGCCTCTCCAGGTTTTAACGCTTGTTCCAGTGTTGTCGATTGACTTCTTAATCGATTTGCCCACTTAGTTCGCTCATAGCGGAATAAAGCAAGTGAACCCTTTTTAATTTCCCGCTAGGTAAATGTTGATTGAATGAAATAAAAATGAATAAAGAAAATCAGGAAGTTATTGTTTTCACCCAGGTTTTAGAAAATTAGCTCTCATTATATTTCGACGTTTCGATGTCGTGCGTTTCGAGTATTTTTAATTTTCATAAATTGGTTTTTTGTAATTACTTCGACATCCTTGTTTAGATCAATTCTATAATCTAATCAGCTTTTCTACTCAAAAACCGATGTCGATTGCAGTGAACCGTATCAAAATCGGTTTACTCGTTCGAGAGATATCATTGTTAAAAGAAATTTCAAAAAAGTGTTTTTTCAAGATAACTTGAAAATTTTTCGTCATATCAATTTTTTGTAAAAAATGTTTTAGTGATTAAGACATTAAATTCGAGAAAAGAGTAAATGTAATTTATTTGGTCTTATATATTGATTGTTACCATATAAGTATGAAATTATTGGACACAATATTTATTCCTCACCAACCCGTAACCATTCGTGACTGTTCTTGGACATGAGCATCTGCCATGGTCTCAAGGATACTCACGTATGCCAAGCGTAATGGCGATGGCAGTACTAGACATCTCACTCCTCAGACAAAGAATAAATAATGTTACCACACGTTAGATTTGTCGACTTAAAGATTTTTCAGATTCAGTAATGAATAATGCTTCAAAAATCTAAGATGAATATTGCATCACCATAACAGCCTACCTAAGTCCACTGCTGAACCTATGTTCAATTCTCAAAAACAAATTTGCTCCATAAAGTTGCATTATTGGCAATAACAATTTCCATAGTACCGGCGGAAATTACAACTATCCATCCAACCATTAGGTATAGACTATAAAAATAATGCTTTAAAAATCTAAGATGAATATTGCGTCACCATAACAGCCTACCTAAAGTCCACTGCTGAACCTGTGTTCAATTCTCAAAAACAAATTTGCTCCATAAAGTTGCATTATTGGCAATAACAATTTCCATAGTACCGGCGGAAATTACAACTATCCATCCAACCATTAGGTATAGACTATAAAAATAATGCTTTAAAAATCTAAGATGAATATTGCGTCACCATAACAGCCTACCTAAAGTCCACTGCGGAACCTATGTTCAATTCTCAAAAACAAATTTGCTCCATAAAGTTGCATTATTGGCAATAACAATTTCCATAGTACCGGCGGAAATTACAACTATCCATCCAACCATTAGGTATAGACTATAAAAATAATGCTTTAAAAATCTAAGATGAATATTGCGTCACCATAACAGCCTACCTAAAGTCCACTGCTGAACCTGTGTTCAATTCTCAAAAACAAATTTGCTCCATAAAGTTGCATTATTGGCAATAACAATTTCCATAGTACCGGCGGAAATTACAACTATCCATCCAACCATTAGGTATAGACTATAAAAATAATGCTTTAAAAATCTAAGATGAATATTGCATCACCATAACAGCCTACCTAAGTCCACTGCTGAACCTATGTTCAATTCTCAAAAACAAATTTGCTCCATAAAGTTGCATTATTGGCAATAACAATTTCCATAGTACCGGCGGAAATTACAACTATCCATCCAACCATTAGGTATAGACTATAAAAATAATGCTTTAAAAATCTAAGATGAATATTGCGTCACCATAACAGCCTACCTAAAGTCCACTGCTGAACCTATGTTCAATTCTCAAAAACAAATTTGCTCCATAAAGTTGCATTATTGGCAATAACAATTTCCATAGTACCGGCGGAAATTACAACTATCCATCCAACCATTAGGTATAGACTATAAAAATAATGCTTTAAAAATCTAAGATGAATATTGCATCACCATAACAGCCTACCTAAGTCCACTGCTGAACCTATGTTCAATTCTCAAAAACAAATTTGCTCCATAAAGTTGCATTATTGGCAATAACAATTTCCATAGTACCGGCGGAAATTACAACTATCCATCCAACCATTAGGTATAGACTATAAAAATAATGCTTTAAAAATCTAAGATGAATATTGCGTCACCATAACAGCCTACCTAAAGTCCACTGCTGAACCTGTGTTCAATTCTCAAAAACAAATTTGCTCCATAAAGTTGCATTATTGGCAATAACAATTTCCATAGTACCGGCGGAAATTACAACTATCCATCCAACCATTAGGTATAGACTATAAAAATAATGCTTTAAAAATCTAAGATGAATATTGCGTCACCATAACAGCCTACCTAAGTCCACTGCTGAACCTATGTTCAATTCTCAAAAACAAATTTGCTCCATAAAGTTGCATTATTGGCAATAACAATTTCCATAGTACCGGCGGAAATTACAACTATCCATCCAACCATTAGGTATAGACTATAAAAATAATGCTTTAAAAATCTAAGATGAATATTGCGTCACCATAACAGCCTACCTAAAGTCCACTGCGGAACCTATGTTCAATTCTCAAAAACAAATTTGCTCCATAAAGTTGCATTATTGGCAATAACAATTTCCATAGTACCGGCGGAAATTACAACTATCCATCCAACCATTAGGTATAGACTATAAAAATAATGCTTTAAAAATCTAAGATGAATATTGCATCACCATAACAGCCTACCTAAGTCCACTGCTGAACCTATGTTCAGTTCTCAAAAACAAATTTGCTCCATAAAGTTGCATTATTGGCAATAACAATTTCCATAGTACCGGCGGAAATTACAACTATCCATCCAACCATTAGGTATAGACTATAAAAATAATGCTTTAAAAATCTAAGATGAATATTGCGTCACCATAACAGCCTACCTAAAGTCCACTGCTGAACCTGTGTTCAATTCTCAAAAACAAATTTGCTCCATAAAGTTGCATTATTGGCAATAACAATTTCCATAGTACCGGCGGAAATTACAACTATCCATCCAACCATTAGGTATAGACTATAAAAATAATGCTTTAAAAATCTAAGATGAATATTGCGTCACCATAACAGCCTACCTAAGTCCACTGCTGAACCTATGTTCAATTCTCAAAAACAAATTTGCTCCATAAAGTTGCATTATTGGCAATAACAATTTCCATAGTACCGGCGGAAATTACAACTATCCATCCAACCATTAGGTATAGACTATAAAAATAATGCTTTAAAAATCTAAGATGAATATTGCGTCACCATAACAGCCTACCTAAAGTCCACTGCTGAACCTATGTTCAATTCTCAAAAACAAATTTGCTCCATAAAGTTGCATTATTGGCAATAACAATTTCCATAGTACCGGCGGAAATTATAACTATCCATCCAACCATTAGGTATAGACTATAAAAGCAAGCCAAGGGAGCCGTGGTAGCTCAGATGGTCAGCGCTCGCTGTAAATATCACAATACGCGAGCAAACCGGGTTCGATCCCCGCCGGCACCAATGAAATTGTTAATTGCAATTTTAAGTGCTGATTTACCACGTGCTCGGCGGTGAAGGAAAACATCGTGAGGAAACCTGCATGTCTGAGAAACAAGAAAAAAAATATTTCGATGATATGTGAAGTTCGCCAACACGCATTGGGGCAGCGCGACGGACGATTCCTTGCCCTAAAACCCTCTCAGAAATGAGAGGAGGCCTGTGCCCAGCAGTGGGACGTATATAGGCTTTAACATTACATTACATTATAAAAGTCCACCTCTGAACGTAGGCTTCTCTTACAGATTAGATCCCTAAAGAGGGATATTTGCCATAATTGTCACGCTTGGCAGACGTGTTGGCAACCGTAGTTTTTCATTTTTATTGAGCTGATATCAGGAAGACGCTGCTTCTAATCTCCCGGTTCAGTTTCCCTCTGTCGCCTCTCACCATCTACAAGATATATCTACGAGGATATTCTGACACCGCCACTACACGGTTAGATTATTGCTTAGTGCCTCAAAATCATTGTTTTTATTTGAAGAAATGCAAACGCAATGTCTACATAAAAGAAATTGTATTTATAATCAATATCAAACGCAATGGTGGTTCGACTCCCGCTCGTAGCTGTCCTACTGCACATAGACACGATGGAACCGAAGCGTCAGCTTGCATATCGAGGCAGCGTATTTGATGGTAATTGAAATTCTAATAGTACTATTGCACACAAAACGATTTGGAAGCAATCATGTTGTTTGCATACTAAATTACAGTGAATTTATTACATTACATTGCGAATAGCTACAAATCCGTGTTTAGAGTTCCATACGTTCCAAAAATACATCTGTAAACGTGCATTTATGTACCGTAATAAATATCGTTAAATAACTACAAACATAGAAGGGATTAACGCAATGTTTAATATGTCCCTAACAAAGAAGTTTCTATTTGAAATTATAAAACGTATTGTAAATATTTCTGTGGTAGGATTCAGTTTTCCCAGGCGTTCCAATGGACCATCCTCTTACCTATTTCTGCCGTTTAGCAGCAAAGCGTCCGCTACTGAATTCTGGTGTAAAAGGTATAAAGACTAGAAGGCATTCATTCATAGTCTTTGGCAGTGACAATAAAGCTGTGGCCTTCTTCCTTGCGAGCTGGCTTCATGTCCGAATGCTGCAGTAGCCCTCATACTATGAAACGATTGAAATTGGCTCGTTTGTTATCCTAATATTATTAACAACAAAATTATTGAGTTTCGTCGTCAAGAAAGTCTCAGTAGATGCCCGGAGACAGGAAGTTGGCGGTGTCGCACCCGCATCTTTCGGAAAGCACGTAAAGCCGTTGGTCCTGCGCCTGATCTCTTTCTGGTCGTGTCGGTTTACCGTCCCATGGGATTATGAGATTGGACCTGTGCTTGCGCATACACTTGGGCACTATAATCCTGTCCTGCGCCGATGGCTAGTCTCCGTTGAGACAGGCCGCCGTGGCCGAAATTCGATCTGGAAGACATTATTGTTATTAATAAGTGGATAAATTAAAAAATTCCGAATTTTCATCAATCAATATAAATAATTAGCATTATTAAGGATAACTCAAAAACTATTGGTCAGATCTTGATCAAATTCATATGGGACTACATGAGAAGCACCAGCTTTCAAATAAAAAAAGAATTATCGAAATCAGTTTACCTAGAAAAAAGTTCTCGACATAACACACAAAAAATACAGTCGATTAATCCACTTTTTTAAGTCTTGAAAGTTCAATAGTATTAAATATTCTAACTATATTATTAAAAAAAACTTTAAAAAAAGATATATATATATATATATATATATATATATATATATATATATATATATATATGTATATATATATATATATAATATATATATATATATATAAGTACACATACATTATAAGATAAAAGTGACAAACGAGCACATAGTCCACCTGATGTTAAGTGGTTGCTGTGACCCACAGACATTTACATCTAGGCTCGATTACGAACCACAATGCAGATGCGTTGTCAAACGTGAGGACTAAGATGGAATTCCTCGTTTGCAGTACAATGGGTATCCGGTTCGCTACAATTACAATACGAAACATAGTAGAGTTACGCTGCTATTTTACGCTAGTATTCTGTGAGAGCGTGGTCCTCCCCCGGTCGAGCCGATCCATTCGTGCTACAACTATACCAGTAATATAGCTGTAGCATGGCTCTACCACGTAAATAAGTAATTGATTATTCGTAGCTTCACCGGGTTGCTCGCGTACGATAAAATAAATTTTCATTTATTATGTATAAAGTAAAATATTAAATATACCTACTCATATTTTATTTCAATTTGCGTGGGACATTATACCTTGTAATTGGCGTTTTATTAGTGAATATGGGTAATAATGCTCATATTATTTTAATGTTTTTCTCTTTTTAATCAGCCTTCAGTATAGACTACTGGTTATGGGTCTTTCTAAGAATTGTCGAAGGTTTGCCCATGCTCACAATGCTTGGCCAGACGGGTTGGTAAGCATAGAGCCTACACCCTTCTACACACTAGTAGTTTTGCTTCTCATTACCTCATTACCAGTCAACCAGATTTTGGTTTGGCGCATCTCGATAGATCTTGTGCCAAAAAGAAATAAAGGAGACCTCTTTTAATTTATATAAAGTTCTGCCAAGTCTGATGTGTATTTTACTTACATTGTGATAATATACTGATGCGTCACATTGCGAAATTTTTTGGAGATTTCGACGACAGCTTTACCCAACGGACGGTTGAAGGTCATAGTATCTCAAGCCGTCCAGCGAAAATAACTCCTCAGAGTCGCCTCACCTGCGCGGGTGTACCGCTAACTTTAAAGGTGAGAGGGCGCCTTTTCCGCTTGGGATTCCGCCTGGGTCCCCCACACAACAATCGTAGCGGTTCTGTGTTCCGATCTAAAGGGTATAGGCAGCAGTATAATTAGAGGCTGTGAGGCATTCCCTCTTAGTCCTCAAAGGTGACAACGTATCTGTGGCCTTTATTTTAAATCGGCTGCAGTAGCCACTTACGATCAGATGAACTGTAGGATAGTCACTCCGATTTTATTTAAAAATAAGATGCTGACAATAAATAGGTGCTATATACTACTTTACACTTAAGTAGACTTAACGATATTTGACGGTTCTCTTCTTTATGGCAGGTCTGAGAAAATGCTCGACAGTGCTGGCGCTGAGCGAGCGCGAGCGGGCCGGTGAGCCAATACGAGCGCACAATCGCTTGCGTGCGCCCTCAGTCTGCTCCCGATGTTCCTCGCTGCTGTCCCTCGCAGGCGCAGGCGGCTCCAGGTACTGAGAACAAAGACCTATTTGAAAATTAATAGACTGGCAATTCAGAACAAAAACTGTTTCATAGCTGTGGAGGGGGCGGGTGCGGGCATCGGTGGGGGGGGGGGGGCTGGCAATATATCTAGAGGTAATACGCCAGCAAGACAGCAGTTGTGTTTTCAATTACGTCAGTTACTGTTTTTAGGCGAAATAAAATTACATACTTATATTAAAAAATTATATTTTTTAATATAAGTATGTAATTTTATTATAATTTATAAAAAGGGCAGTCTTTAGACATCTTAATAAGAGAGTAAAAGAAGTAGTTGAAAGAAAAAAGCAAGAAAGAACGGATAAGAATGATAGAAGAATATCGGATAACTTCAGGCAAATATTAAAATGTTCTGGAAAGTTGTAAGAACTGCCAGGGGACATTCGAAACAGCCTATGATGAATGCTATAAGAGACGAGAATGGCTATATTCTGAATGATGAAGTTTTGAGTTTAAAGAGATGGAAGGAATATTTTGAAAGCGTGTTTATGAGTGAGGAGACAACGTGTGTACTAAGTGAAGTAGAAACTCCGAAAGAAGAGGAAAGAGGTAACGAGATAAGTATAGGTGAAATAATGAAAGCAATGAAAAGCATGAAAGCAGGTAAGGCTGCCGGATATGATAGAGTTTCACTCGAAATGCTAAGGGCTGGAGAGGAAGTGGTGGCAGGCCTGCTGCACACCTTGTTTAATTTATGCTGGGAACTGAAGCGGGTACCGGTAGACTGGTGCAAAGCCGTGATAGTCCCAGTATATAAGGGAAAAGGGTCGCAGCAGGACTGTAAAAACTACCGTGGCATCAGCCTTCTTAGCATTGTGGGAAAACTGTATGCTAAGGTACTGATTGAAAGGGTCATGAAAGAAACTGATGGAAAAATTTGGGATGTGCAAGCGGGATTTAGAAAGGGAATGGGATGTACAGATCAAGTCTTTTCCATGCGTATGATCGCGGAGAAGTTTTTGGCCAAAAACCAAAAGGTTTTTTATGTGTTCATGGACTTGGAAAAGGCCTATGACAGAGTGAATAGGAATGTGCTATGGCAAACACTGAAGTCATTTGGGTTGGGCGCTGGCTTGATACAGGCATTGGAGTCCCTTTATAGGGACTCTAGTGCTTGTGTTAGGATCAACGGGGTCTACTCGGACTGGTTTGACATCCATAAAGGTGTCAGACAGGGCTGTGTGGCTTCCCCGTGGCTGTTCAACCTATTTATGGACAGTTGTTTGCAAAATTTGGAAGTTGAAGAATGCGGATTAAGAATGGGTGAGTTAACCGTCAAATGCCTTTTGTACGCCGATGATCAAGTTATCCTTGCGTCGTCGGCGGCCGAGCTGCAAATGATGGTTACATTAATGAACAGATCATTAAAAGAAAGGGGTATGAAAGTGAACTCAAGTAAGACGAAGGTTATGGTTTTTGAAAGAGAAGAAAGTAAAACGATTTGTGAAATAAGAATAGAAGGGGAGTTGATCTAGCAAGTAGATGAGTTTGTATATTTGGGCTGCGTATTTAGCAGGGATGGGAGATATGATAAGGATATAAAACGACGAGTGAATGCGGGAAATAGAGTAAATGGGGCCCTGCACTCTATTGTGAAGAGTCAAAATGTGTCGAAAAAGGCACGTATGGCAATTCACAATGCTGTGTTGGTCCCTACTTTAACGTATGGTAGTGAAAGTTGGGTGTGGCAGAAGAAGCACGAGAGTAGAATGAACGTAGTAGAAATGCGATCGTTAAGGAGTATGTTAGGGCTGAATCTTAATGACAGGGTAAGAAATTGTGTAATAAGAGAAGAGTGTGGTTTGCAAGATGATGTTGTGACCAGGATTAAGAAAGGAATGCTTCGGTGGTTTGGTCATGTGGAAAGAATGAATGAGGAAAGAGTAACAAAGAAAATTTAATTTACAGAAGTGAATGGCAGAGTCGGAAAGGGACGTCCTAGGCGAAAATTTATCGACCAAATTGGCGATTTATTGAAAACGGGCCAAATTAGGAGTACCCTTAACCGACGAGCATGTATGCGGAGATGATTGGATGTGAAGGAGGCGAGAGAGGTTTGTCAGGATCGTGCCAAATGGAAGTCTGTAGTCTCTGCCTACCCCTCTGGGTGACAGGCGTGAGTGTTTATGTTATGTATGTATACTTATATTTAAGAAACTTCAAATCACGTTCACAAAGTATGCACATAAATAATGATACTGTTTTCTTAGTCACTTAAATTAATTGTTAGATTGACGAAAACAACACGCTTGTGGTTTGCAAAACAAAGAACTTTTCTCGCGACGTCTTTAATTCTTTACTGAGTATCTTTACTATGCAAAACTATTAACGAATTTGATTTAATAAAAAAGCTTAGTTAAAAATAACAAGTATTCCCTTAATTATTAATGTAGTCTATCATTCAAATAATAGACACGAATTGCATTACCATAACTACACTAGAAATTTTTGTTGCTTAACATAGTTTTAATAATAATAATAATAATAATAAGTTCTTTATTTCCAAGAGGTTGTACATCACGATATTTGCATAACATTATTCAATAAAGCTACATTAGTACATATACTTGAAAACATAGCATCTGCAGCCGAACTAGGAGACCTGTGCATCAGCTGTCAGCGCCATATCCCCACCGTTAATTTATAGAAATATTAGGATGCAAGCAAAAGTTAAATAATCAAATACTATCTAAAAATTTGTACATTCCGCTAATATAACCTAAGTACAATGAAATTAATTGTATCACATATTATGTTTATATACTATGTTACCACTTATTACTAATACCAAGGTACAAACAAAATAATAATTTATACTACTAATGCCGTTCCCTGTTAGTTAGTAGTTAGTAGTTTTCCCTGTTAGTTGTTAATTGTTTTCATCAGACATCTGTAATTAATTGTGTAAGAGTTAATCTTTGACACGATAAAGATAAGAAACTTCGGTATTTCCAATTTCGTAGTAAAGGTTACATCTGACGTTAAGTAGATAATATTTTTACGTTAGGTATTCTTATAATAAACAAAGTATTGTTCCTTTATATTGAAATCATTTGATAAAAAAATAATATCCGAAAAATTGGGATATCCTACATAGTTTCCATTTTCATTAAACAATCCCAATGTTGCCATACTTGTGATGTCACTGTTCTGTATTGTTAGTTGATATTTGATAAAACTTCTTTTCCGCTTAGACTGACGGAGTAGGTTCAACCCCTTACCTAATTCTTCCGATAAGCAGCAGTCTGTCCTACTGTGAGGTATTCTTTCTTGTGAGGTATTCCGATTCAGAGTGACTAGTTTCAGGTGTCACCACTAACTTTAAGGTTGAATTTAATTTCATTTGCCGCTTCAATCTTTATATATAATTCTTTCTGTCTGTCTGTATGTGACTGAACTCCTAAAAAGCTGGACCGAAATTGATAAATTTTGTGTGTGTTATTAAGTTGATTCGAGAATGGTTTGGATTCAGAATTTGACCCGGTAGGTGGTGCTGTTGTTGAGATACAGAAATCATTCACGCAAAACCGGGGTGGATTATTAGTTTTATTATAAAACTATAGTAATGATAGCCATTAGCCATACTAAACTTGTGTTACAATTACTTCTCAGTCCTGCATGAGAACTCACGTAAATTTTATCTTAATATCCAGCTGTTATCAACTAGGTATTCACTGGATGGCGCTGGTGGTGTCTTCGTGCCGGCTGCTCCCGTCAACTGCAAGCTGTGTCTGGAAGACGCTACACCTGACAAGGTCACAGTCATCAGTGGATGCGGTTGTTCCTTCTGCACAAAGGTAGGATGTTTTTCTTTAAGTCTAATAGTCTACTACAATAAAAATAAATAAATTGTGAGAGACAGAAAGTGTGAGAAACGAAAAATTTTCAAACATTGTTCGTATTTGTATCTTGACCTTATTTTCTCCAGTACATGTTTGTTTCGGAAAATTTTACGGCTAAATAATCGTGCTTGGGTTAAGCCCTTCTAATGTCACTATTGAAATCTTCTTCATTGATTTAGCAAACAGCGGTTGCTACGCCTCTGTAAACGACGTTAATAGTCGCACAGCTAATTCTTGTGACGTCCCCGGAAGGGAAATAGAGCGACCTTAAAGTTGTTTACAATTTTATAAATAATCAGAAATTGAAATTGATCAATCGATGTCGGTACTGTATTTTTCTTAGTTGTATTTAACACGACTGAAATTTTTGCGATTAGTTTATTTCAGTGAAATAATGTCGTCCTTTAAATATAGAAAGACAGCTATATATAATGATTTTCTCTTTTTAATCAAAGACAGCTATATAAATGAAAATAGATAGTTAACTTATTATTTTAACGTTTCAGTTAACTTATTATTACTGGTTAACGATTTGCCGGAGGTAGTTAAGGAATCTAGGTGTCTTCTTTTTGCTGATGACCTCAAGTTGTATCATGTCGTAGAAACATTGTCAGACTGTGAAAAGCTACAACAGGACGTAAATAGAGTAGTGGCATGGAGCAATAATAACCGTTTACATTAATAACCGTTTAACACCTCCAAGTGTGTTACCATTTCATTTATTAGTAAGCGCACGCCCATTGAATATATAAAGTCGTAGGTTCGCCAATGGTAAGATAAAGAAGTTAAAGATCTAGGCGTTCGCCTAAATAGTGAATTATCGTTTAGGGAACACATTCTCTATTGCTGCAAAAAGCATATAGAAACTTGGACTTCATTTTTCGCACAGTTCGCGGTTTTACTAACATCAATTTAATTGTTACCCTGTGTAATACACTGGTAAGAAGTAATCTGGAGTGTAACGCCGTAATATGGTCGCCACATGAAAAAAGGTATAGCACAATGCTAGAACGTGTGCAAAATAAATTTATTAGATACCTATATATACGCCATTATAGGGTCTACCCTATGTACCCATTAATGTACCCAATTTTATTTATTCTGGGTATGGTTGGCTACAAAAAGTTGAGGGTAAGACGAGACCTCGCATTAGCCTTATATATTTTTAAAGTGCTTAGAGGAAAAATATATTATAATGTTGTAGTGACATATTGGGGTGGATTGGGCTGTGTGTTCCAGACGGGTACGTATGGAAACGGCGGCGGCCGCGGCTGCTCTCCGTGCCGCGCGCCCGAACCAATTTACTAGATAAAGCACCTTTAACGCGAACGTTACGCATTCTTAATAGAATGGCTGAAGACATTAACCTATTCTATTGCTCCTTGAGTGAATTTACTAGGGTAGGGTTGTTTACAATTTGTTACAGTTAATTTTCACATTTTTGTTATGCATAAAAAGAACTACACTGTCGCATTAGGTTATTCCTGTCATGATAGTTGTTAGTTTCAATAAATAAATAAATAAAATAAAAATTATAAAGAAACAGTTATTTCATCCAACAAACCAAATAATAACGGTGTTTTTTTGTAATAAATTTTTCAGGTTAGATCTGTTAACATAATATCATAAACTCTTGAAATCTGTTATTATGTATCAATTACATAAGTGTTATGTATGCGTAATAACAATGTTTATTTAAACAAACTGCACTGATGTTGAATCAGAGCTTTTGCAATTTAGTTTAATTTAACCCTAAGGCGACTCAAGAAATAATGAGTAACTAGGACACGTCACAAAGGTTAATTAATGGATTTTATTCGTCTTCAGCTGTAAAAGATCTCATTTGCTGCTCCAATAAAAATACATTATGTTTTACAAACTGTGCGTTACAAGTCATTAAAATCTGGAGAATTAAACCTCAAAAGGAAGGTAAAAAAACCGTGTCTGTTTCTAACACGTGACTTTGAGTTGTAACACCAGCTCTGCCAAAAAGTTCAAAACAAATCAGCGGACACCTTATTAACTGTCATTAAGAACCATCGATCTCAAATTTACGATCCAATTCACCACATTATCTTAATTATTGTACCTATTATATGTGTGATTGATTTAATTCAATATCTGCTTTTGATTGTTCATCATCATCCCAAGTCCAGTGCTGATCATAGGCCTCACCCAAGGAATGCAACAAATCACGGTCCTTCAAGCTACTTGCACCCATTAAATTCCTATTTACCTAATGCTTTTTCATTATTTTAAACATGTTGAAGATTTTTTAAAAAGGAAAAGGTTCTATATTCAAAAGAAAATTAGTCACCTCTCATTAGAAAGTTGCTTTTAATTTCTCCTGTAGATCGTTTTATTCAGCGAAATATGAATCATGACAAGTTTTATAACACAACTATGCTGCTGTGTAAAAGGTATAATTTAATCTATAGAGTGTGGTGGTGAAGGCACTTTAGATGCGCCATTTATTTTACTGTATTAGGTAATAGGTGTGTTTCATTTAGGGTGATAAGAGCAGAAAAGAGTTCTGTTAATATCATTTATTATTTAACGTGTGCTAGTGCAAAGGTTCTCAAAAGTTCTACATATTTTCTGCAAGCAAATAGTCGCTCGAAGCGCAATTTATTGCGTTGTTCTAATTATCATGTGAGGGTTATTTTTAATTCCATTCGCACAGTCAATTATGTCGTCCCGCAAATCCTGCAAAATATTAATCGAGGTGCTGTAGACACGTTGTTTCGTGACTCCCATAGGAAGTAGTCAAGAGGTGTCATGTCCGATGATTGTGTGCGCCACCCTACACGTCCTTGTCTACCGATCCAATGATTTCGATAATTTTGACATTACAATACATGCGCTTGATTATGAGGGAACAAATTGTGCTTCGAGCGCCTATGTGTTTGCAGAAAAGAGGTGGACATATTGAGATCCTTCTGCACTAGCTTTTACGTGAAATAATAAATGATGTTAACTGAACTCTTTTTGTGTTTTTATTACCCTGAATAAAACATCGTATACCATACAGTAATAAATGGCGCGTCCAAAATGCCTTTTTTTAACAGTCGATAAGAAATGTTGTATTTGGGTTATAAACATGCAATTTTTACCATCAAATAGATAATACGATGTAGAATAAAGTTAAGTAATAAAAATATAGGTATGGTTTTTTTTTACAATTACGGGAAAACTTGGTAAAAAAGGCTGATTTTAATTTTGAATTGTTTGGCTCTCAATTTTATTTAATGAGGAGCTCCGCTTATTTCCAATCAAAACCGGTTTTTTTCATCGTAAATGATCGTTTAGTATAAGTTACATCATTTGGTTGTGGTACAAGCGGGTCGCTGTAGCGAACAATACTTTAAAAAACGCTATATAAAATGGAAAAGTTAAATGATTTTTTTTTCTCCGATAAAATTAAGCAATGTTGCCCTTGTTGAAATTTGTACACATAATGAAGACTCGCACTGTACAAATGGCCCGTGTGAGTTACACTTAATTTTTATTAAACGAGTTATACCTATCTTGGGCGTGAACGACAAGATCAGCTGTCTTGGACGTGATAGTGTGGGCGTTATGTATAACATCCGCCAGCAAAAATGTTACGTAAATTTCAAAACCAACGTTTAGATTTTTTAATGTTTTACACATTTCGTACTTTAATCGTAACACGCTGCTAATATGTTGATAATGATAACAACAATCATGGAAATATCTGGTTCCATTATTTTGTTTTCGTTCACTTACTCGTTTTTAAACCGGTTCTTGTTTATTTCGGGAATAATTCAGAAAACGTTTCAAATCAAGTTTTTATATACTTTAATGAGATTGAAGTTGTTTGTTATAAATCACGGATTTATTACCTGTTTTTTATTGCCATAACTTGGTGTTTGATGGACGGATTGCTTCAAGATCTCCATTATGATGTTTGGGCCAAAGATATACTCGTATATTTATCACATGAGTATAACAGTGATTAATACAGATTAAAATTACTAGAAATTATTTTGTAATAAAGTAATTTAACAGGCGTCTTTTGATTAATCCAAACCACAATCCTTTCCATTCCTTCACCTCAATTTGGCAACTTTTTGTAGTTTAGCGAACTCAAACCTAATGCTCTTTTATACTACGCCAGTCAACTCCATTTTGTGCGTATACAGATTATTTACATTTACAATGGAGTTCATAATCGATGGGTGAACAGTCCACCGAAATACATCATACAACATTTACCTAGAGGTTGAATATTGCTTCAATCGTTCTTGTCTTTCATAAACAACTGCTGAAGAATACCCTGACTAAACCCTGAATAAAATTTCATGCGTCATTGTCTATTATTTTATTATGTTTTCCATGAAAATACTCCGTAGGTGTCACTTTGACAGTAAATAAGAATTAAAAACAAATAAAAATAAAGTTAAAAGTATAATTCTAATAATTTCGCTGGCTATTTCTAGAAAGTTTTTTTTTTGCATATTGTATTTGCACTTTGTGTAACTGACAATTAATACGAAGTTAATGCGAAGTTTGTAAGTAAGTTAATACGAAGAAAAGTAGAGGATTACAACTTTGTGAAAATTATTGATTCTATTTGTACGAATCATTTGACAGTAGCAAAAAAAAATTTGTTACAGAAGAAAATCAGATAAGCAAGCAATTTTATACGTTGTAGAGCCATGCTGCAGGTATACTAGAAGTATAGTTGTAGCACGAATGGGTCAGCTCGACCGAGGAAGGACCACGCTCTCACAGAATATCAGCGTAAAATAGTAGCTTAATGCTGCTGTGTTTCCAGTGGCGAAGCTTCCATTAAAGCCGAAAAGCCGGGCTTGCCTTATTAAACCTGAACCAATCAATAATATCAATCAATAATATCAACTAATAAAATAACTCGTAAAATGTTTCAAGCTATTTCAAATATCCCGCGCACTCCACTGTTCGACACATGT